CCATCGGGGCTGCCGGCGGGGATCAGGCCTCCCTGTGACATGGTCAGATCCCAGCACCCCGATGCCCCACACTGCCCCCCCCATTCCTCCCTGACACACGGAGCCTCGCACTTGGATCCCCACATGCTCCTCCGTGAGCACACGGGGGGCCCTGCCAGGCCCTGAAGGTGAGGGTTCGCGGGCTCCAGGTCCTGTCCACTGCCCACCCCCTCGGCTGTAGCTCAGCAGCGAGAAGGTCTGCACCCTGACTTCCACGCTACACCTCCGAGGTCGGCGAACTGGACACGACGGCCAGCCGCTGTCAGCCGAGTGCCTGGAGGGGGCGCGCTGAGGCACCCGCTGGATCTCCTCACGGTGCCGGGCACCGCTGCTCCCTGGGTGCCATTCCTCCCTCGGCATCGCTGGACACCCTTCACTGGGCATGGAGCTGGGTCACCGGCTGGGCACCGGTCTGCCTCAGCCGCCTCACAAACCCTATGCCCGAGTGTGGGCTCTGTGGGCCCCAAGCTGGCTCTGGCCCTGGGCAGGCCGCATGGGCCGGACGTGGTGCTCCTGGGCCACTGGAGAGCGTGCTGTGTGCCCCCAAGGGCGCCCATGACATCCTGTGCCAACCAGCCAGGCCGCGGTCACGCTCCGGGCAAACCCAGTCCCTCACCCGAGCTCAGCGACGTGGCTGTTTGAGGCAAAGACGGATTCCTGTCCGCGGGGTGGAGTCCGACCTTCACGCCCCTCGCCGGGCCTGGGGGCCGGGCCATTCCTGGCACAGAGGAGGAGGCCCCATTCCCACGAGAAGTTCGGGTTGCCATGGTAATGTGCGCAGCCTGGGTCCGGGACTTCCTGTCCGGTGCAGCTTCACAGAGAGAAGCTCAGCGTTGCCCGGGCCCGCACACCGCCACATGCCCGCCTCCCGGAGGGCAGACGGCTGAGAAGGACCGTCACTGGGACTCGGGCGCTCATCGGTGCCCGGCCTCAGGGATCACCGCCTGGCGGGCGCGGGGAGGCCAAACGCCACTCAGGTTTCTGACTGGTGAAGCGGGAGACTTGGTCTCCGTCAGCTTGGCTCTGCCAACACGTAGGCTCCGGTCCAAGCCTCTTACCTGAGGGATCTCCCCGTGACCTCCACTCTCCCAGCAAGCTACGCGATGATTGTGTGTGTGTGTGTGTGTGTGTGTGTGTGTGTGTACACGTGTAACGTGAACCGGGCGCTCCTGCTGTGTGTCACAGAGGACAGGACGGCCGGGTGGAAGGACGGCCAGTTATGACGAAGTGATGCCCAGGCTGTGTGGTGCCCGCAGTGACAGGAACAGCGAGCACACGCGATGCACGCTGGCGAGGGGGACGCTGCTCCCGCTAATGCCAGTGGCGGGCTTCACGCCATTAACACGAAGAAACCTGCTAACGTGTGTCGGGGCCCCGAGGACACTGCAAAGGAGCCGGACCGCCAGGCCTTGGCCCCCGATGACGGCGCTGCATAAAATGTGATTCTTATCGATAGCCAAGCAGCTCAGAACATGGCAGCTGCCCCGGGACCCTCACGCTGTGAAACCTAATCCACGCCGCGCGCACGTTCCGTCACTTACACGGGCCGCTCTCCCAGGCTATACAACTTCCAAACCCGGAGATTTGTCTCCAGCAAGAACAACACGGAGGGGCCGGTGGATCGATGGGGAATCCCTCTGATTCGGGGCCCGCCGGTCCTCTCTCCATCTCGCCTTTGTTCTCCGGGCGGCAGTCCACAGGGGAAGGGCTTGTTTTCACTCGCGGCCTCATCAATACCTAAATCCTGGCGAACAAGTGACACCGAGAAGCTGTAATCAATAGCTCCCTGTGCGTTTTTTTCTTCTGGTCAAATGGTTCAGCCCCGCTGACAGCCCTGACACTCAGAACATGATGCTAAATCTTTATCAGCGGCGTCCGGGTGACTGGCAGAGCGCGCGCGGGGTCGTTAGCGCTCCTGGCGATCTGTGAATAAACTCACTCCTCGGAAGGCGTTCTGTTTGGAAGAAGGTGGGAGACGCTCTGCGCGCCGGATCGATCGCCTCTGAACTGCATTAAGCAAATTCCGTGTGTGGATGAGCGCTGGGGCTTCGTGGGGGAGGGGGCCGGCCTCTCCGGTCCGCTGTCTACGGGGAAGCAGGCCCACCTCCGTCCGCGCTGGGGCGGGGAGAACCTTCCAGAAGCCCGCCGCACCGTCTTCCCTGGGCAGGCGAGGGCTTCCAGGAACACTCTGGAAGAACCCGAGTGTCTAGGACAGGACGAACCTCCCTCCCAGCAAAAAGCATGCCTCCCCTGGCGAGGAAGGGGAGTGATGCCGGATGTGCCTGGCCGCCCTCCCCCCCCTCCCCTGGAGCACTGTTCAGGGAGCATGTCCAGGGAGCCAGTCTCCACGACACAGACACGCTATCTGTGCGACAGCTAGCCAGCCATCACCACCGAGAGCAGACACAGTCAGGGGACGTCCACACCAGGCACGTCCAGCCCCGGGCTGGCACCTCTTTCTCCCGTGGGTCAGAGTCACCCCTTGGGCCCCCAGCCCATTCTAAGGAGGCTTTCATCACTTTACAGAAACGCCGTGAGGACTGTACAGCTCCCGTCACGCCCAAGTGCCGCCAGCCACGTCCACGGACGCACCTGTACCCCAGCCAGGGCCCGCTCAGGCCCCGCAGTGGCCGGGGCCAGGCAGCCTCGCCCACCAGGTGGGCGAGGGCCCAACGGGAGGGCTGCAGAGGCTCCTGCCAGCCTGGAGTCTCCGCCGGCTGGCCTCCGGCACGCGACGGGGGGCCCACAGGAGGCCGTTGTGGACACGGAGCCTTAAGCCCCGTGGATCCCGTTTTATAAATCTCAGCGGCCGAGGCCGGTCGCGCGGAGAGACATCATAGAGATTAATGGCATGAGGCCGGCGTCTCGCTGGTTGCACGACAATAAATGTTCCCGAATATTGCCATGAGCGCGACCACTGAAGCCCCATGTGTCCCCAATGCACAGGCAGGTGAGGCTCCCGTTTGTACCCGCCGGTTAGAGCCGGTCTCAGCGCCAGCGTGCCTGTGGGCACTTGGCCCCCAACCGGGCGTCCAGCGGGAGGCGGGAGAGCAGCCCCCACGGGCCTGGGCAGGGGACTCTCCGGGACCGGGCGGGGACGGTGCCGGGAGCATCCCGCAGGGGGCATGTCTGCAGGGTGCAGGGAGCGGCGCAGAAACCCCATTAGCTTCCGACGGAGGCGATCCAGGGAGCCCTCTCCCGCGACACCACGGGGCCGGTGGCCTTTTCCTCTTCAGCAAATCGAACCGGTCACACCCCGTGAGAGGACGGGACCTCCCAAAGAAGACACAGTTACGCGTTACTGGCAAATGTAACAACCCTATTCCCAAACTTAGTTGGGAGTCACGCCGTACGCTCCAAAGTCACGCGGCCTCCGTGTGGTAGGATGTGCCTAACGGCAGGCCGGCACCAGCAACGACAGACAGCAGTGCTGGCAGCACCCTCGTCCCGAGGGCTCCAGACACGGGAGACACAGGAGTGTCCCCACATCACACGTGGCGAGACCTTCGCAGAGCAGATGTGTGTGAAGACAGTGCCAGGAGGTGCTTCTCCAGGACCAGCCAGGCCGTTCCGTGCAGAAGGCTAGGTGACTGCCGCCTCCCAGACGCCGGCTCTGCCCGGGGCGGCCACGAGCCAGTGCGGGGTGCGGCCGGCTGTGGCATACCGACGCCCACCTGTCTCCGGTGAACAGGGAGGAAAATGGTCTTGAAAGTAGACAGCAAGCTAAAACTGGTTTGGCTCAGTGGATAGAGTGTTGGTCTGCGGACTGAAAGGTCCCAGGTTCAATTCCGGTCAGGGGCATGTACGTTGGTTGCGGGCACATCCCCAGCAGGGGGTGTTTAAGAGGCAGCTGATTGATGTTTCTCTCTCATCTACATTTCTAGCTATCTATCCCTCTCCCTTCCTCTCTGCAAAAAATCATTAAAATATATTATATATATATAAAAAAAGAAAAGACAGCAAAGCCACCTGGTTTTTCAGAAAGCAGGTCTGATTCAGTCACTTCCCATCCGGACTCAGGGATGCTCTTTGCTCTGTCGGATCGAACAGCATTCTTCTGGCGAATCAGAGACTTCCCCGGGCCGCAGGGAGAAGCTGCTGATGTGACAGCGTCATGCCGGTCCGGCATGGCCGTGAGGGGGGCAATCCTAGGGCCTCATACAGCCGGGCAGGGTCTCCGGGGGCTGAGCCACCAGGCAGGCCGGGAGCCCAGCCTGTCCACACCCAGGCCCTGTCACGGCCTCTGCCTCTCTCGTGCTGGTTCCTTCCTGTGACTGGACAGCTGCTGGCCTGTGTGTGACCTGATGGGGACCAGAGGTGCCTCTGTCCTTCTGGGCACGGCAGGCCCAGCCACCTGCACCACGGCCCTCCTCTGGAGAAGCCGGCCTCACAGGGTTTGTGAGTGTGCCCTCGGCCACACCCGGGAGGGACAGGACATGGAGGAACTGGGGGCAGCCACGCCCAGACCCAGCCATAGCCAGGCCAGAGGTCAGCCAACCCTTGTGGTCAGGCCTAGAAGGGCTGGACCTCGTGACAGAGATGCCCTGGGGAGCCGGACCTGGCACGTGAGCCTTCTAGAAGGTGAGAAACTGGAGGGGGCCTTTCACTCCAGTGAAAGCACCTGGGGGAGGGGGCTCACACCGCACCCGGGGCGCCCGCTGGTGAACGAAGGGATGTCTCCTCGCCCCTCACCAGCCCGTCCCCGGTGCTCCCCGCGCCGAGCTCCTGTGGTTCTCACGTAGAGTAAGGGCTTCATCACTACCTCCCCCCACGACCGGGGACCCCACAGTGCTGCCCACGTCTCTCCCGAGGTCCCGTCACCAATGCTTCCTGTCCACCCCCCTCGCCCCTCACCCCCGGCAGCACAGGCTGCCCGGGGAATGTGCTCATCAAGTGACACGGCCCCAGGGCGGTGCCCAGGCCCACCCACCACCCCCATCCCCTCGGTCACCCCAACTTACAGGATTGCTTCTCATCGCGCCGCCCACCGCCCGCGCGGCCTTGGGGTTGCCTGCCAGGGCCGCTAACTGCTGGTAAGACACCACTTCTCCGAACTTCACGGCCTCCAGCAGCTTCCGCAGCACCTGCCCGGTGAACGAGTCTGGAAGCAGAAAGCAGACGATGTTATGGGGACAGTCGGCTCCCGCGGCTCTGATACAAACAGCCGCCCGTCCCCGCACCAGCACAGACAGAGGCGCTGCCCCCAGTAAAACACGGCCCGCACGTGGGTTCCCGGCACAAGGCATGTGTGTGAGGCAGGGCCCAGAGCGGCCGGCTCCTTTCGGGGATCCAGACCACACACCCCGGAGCTTCGGCCTCTTCCCGTCTCCCCCGTTCCCGCCGGATGCTCCCTGGGCCACAGGCCTCTGTGAACGAGCATTTGGCCCAGCTCCTCAGCACAGGAGCCCCGCCTCCCTCCGGCCTAGAGAACCCATTTGCACGGCTGGTTCATGTCCCGCTCCGGCCGGAAGGACAGAGAAGCCCGGCAGGACTCAATGCCAAACCGCAGGCCCCATCGGCAGTGACCTTGGCTGCAGGCGTCTGCAGTGAGCGGGGCTGCAGAACAAAAGGGCGCCATTCTTGCTTTACCTGCAGCTCCCCACGTGCTGAGGGTGAGCAGGTGAACACGAGAGCTGTTTGCGGGAGGAAGCCCGGGTGGAGAGGACAGTCCGGATGCTGTCTATTGTCTGTCTGCAGGGAGACGCTGGCAGCACCAGGCATGGCTCGGAGGGCTAGACATGGGGGGAGCTGCGTCCCCACGGTGGGGCCCTGAGCCCTCTGTGGCAGGAGGTCCCCATGGCACCGACAAAGGGGAGGATTCGCTGGCAGGAGCAGTGCCCCCACCGTGCCCGCGACGGCACTAATCACACTCCGTGCCTAGCTGGCAAAGTGCAATTTGGTTCTTAAAGGAAACGCACCCTTACATGTACGCTAAATGATAAAAATCACTTCTTAACCGAAGGGAAGGATAATCACGTCGCCGGGAGGAAAAAAAATCTGTTTGGTCTTTATTATAACATTAAGCAAATTAAACATCAGCATAATCCAGGTGATACGGGAACAGGGTCATCAAAGAAATTAACTTTGTTGTTCATTAATTTGCATGGATTAGGCGAGGGCAAAAGATAGCAAGTGTGCTCCAGTTTCTTGTGATATAATTTCAAACTGTACACCGTTTGTGGCAGGAGGGTGACTTTGGGGTTAATCAGACTGATTTGTCCTTTTAATTGCTTTCTATTCAAAGAAAATTCATTAGATAATGTTCTCTTCAAAATTCATGAATCAATTTAACTGGAGGAACCACATTAGCGGCTCGGGGTTCATTAGCGCAGGCCGCCGTGCGCAGGCCGGCGGCGGGGCGGCGTCCTTCGCAAACAGCCTGTTTACGGCGCCGTCTTCGGAAGGGCGTTTGCAGCCACCTGTTCCTCCTGGCGGCTGTGGCTGCATCTGCCTCACCTGAGAGACACGGAGGCACCAGGCCAGGAGGCGGCCCGGCCACGGCGACTGAGGAGAGAGCGGGGGCAGCGGGCAGCCCCGGGCAGGGCGGAGGGCCTGGGCCCTGCCTCCGAGCACAGGGTGGCTGGCATCTGTGTTTGCAGTGACCCGGGGAGAGGGTGCACCGGGTCTTCCAGGAGAATGGCCCTGGAGGTTGAGAACCTGCTGACACGGGCGGAGAGGTGCGGGTGCAATGGCTACCACCTGCAGCACAGCCCGGCCGGGTGGTCAGGCGGCTGAGCACCATCCCGTGTCACCCAAAGGCTGCGGGTTCCATTCACACCCAGGGCACATACCGAGGCTGGGGGCTCGGTCCCTGGTAGAGGTAACCAGTCAATGTGTGTTTTTTTTTGTTTGTTTTTTTTCCCCTCCTTCTCTCTTTCTCTTGCTCCCTTCCTTGCTCTAAACATAACCTCCTCGGGGCGAGGATTAAAAATAAAGGAAAAGCCCCCGGCAGCCCAGAGCCGTCTGGGGCCGGGCTCCGCTCCAGCATCCATGATGAACCCCGCCACGGTACGAGTGCCTTCTTTCCCGGGTACAAGCGTCGTATCACCGAACAGTGACGCAGCCATGTCAGAGCAGTTTTCCCAACGTGTCCAGCTTCCCTGTCGATGGCAGACCATCTCTCACCCTGCACATGCCAGGCAATGATTGGGGAAAAAAAGCCCAAGAAGCTACGCTCAGCCATCAAGCACAGCTTTTTAGAAATTCACCTCAAAACCCAAAGTCTCCCTGCAGGGAGCCAAGGCACCGATGAGTGTAAGCGGCTCTCTGAGGCGGCGCCGTTAGCTCCAGCCTGCCCAGAAGCGGATGCTGCAGTGGAGTCCACTCTGGAGGAGGGGCCACCACGTTCGGTGGTTAAATGTCCTCCTACAAGCCGAAACCGGTGTGGCTCAGTGGATAGAGCGTCGCTCTGTGGAATGCCCTGGGGCCGGCCAGCCACAGCCGGGACTGAACGAGGGGCCCCTGATCAGCCCCGATCGCTGGCCAGGCCGAGGGACCCCATTTGTGCAGGAATCCATGCACAGGGTTTCCAGTTAGAAATAAAGGCAGAAGAAATGGAATGGAATCTTTGGTTGCAATCTTTGAAATATGTATGATGGTGGAAAGTAAAATCATAACATCACCGGATAATATTTTCAGCGTGTGTAGATGTAAAATATATGTCACTATAACTTCAAGGAGGGGGCTTAAAGGATCTTTATGGTGGAAAAGTTTCTACATTCTACCATAAGGTGGTAAAATACTGATTCCAATTAGACTGTAAAAATCAGCATGTAATTCCTAGAGCAACCACTAGGAAAACCATGACAAGAGATAACTATAGTAAAAAACTAACAGGCAAAGTAAAATAAAATACCAAAAATGTGTTAAAATAGCCCACAGGAAGGACAGAAAAGGGAAAGAGAAATGAAAATCAAGAAAAAGGCAGAAAAACAAAGGAAATGTTACCTAGTAATAAAAATAAAATGTAATACGATAAATAAGATAAAAATAAAAATGTTATATTTATACCTGAATTCAAACATATAAATAATTACATCAAATGTAAATGGTCTAATCACACCAATGAAAAGATAAATGAATTAAAAAAAGAACCCAAATATGTGCATTCTAAAAAAAACAACAACAAAACTTCAAATAACAGACATAGGTGGGTTGAAAAGTAAAAGAATGGATAAAAACAAACCATGTAAACAATAATCTTAAAAAGTTAATATCAGACAAAGTAGAGTTAAGAGCAAATAAAATTTTCAGGGTAAAAAGGAATAATACATAGCCCTAGCTGGTTTGGCTCAGTGGATAGACCGTTGGCCTGCAGATTGAAGGGCTCCATGTTCGATTCTGATCACGGGCACATGTCAGGGTTATGGGCTCGATCCCCACTAGTGGGCACACAGGAGGCAGCTGATCAATCATTCTCATCATTGATGTTGCTTGCTATCTCTCTCTCCCTCTCCCTTCCTCTCTAAAATAAAAAAAATTTAAATAAAGGAATACATATTGATAAACTGCCCACAAAGATGACATATCAACTGTAAATTTTTGTGTACCTAACAACAGAATTTCAAATAAAGTAAAAATGGACAAAAATTAGGAGGAGAATTAGACAAATCCATGAATATACTTGGAGACTTCAATATTTCTCTCTCAGTAACTGATAGAAATAGTTGACAGAAAATCAAGAATGTAGAAATAAAAAAGGATCACCAATCACCTGGTGGTCAGTACCTGTTGAACAGTCGCTTAAATTATATATATATATATATATATATATATATATATATATATATATATATACACACACACACACACACACACACACACAGATGACACTAAAATTAAGTGGATTTTGTCCCAGGAATGCAAGCCTCTCCAATGTTTGAAAAGGGAATCTATAAAACGACAGAGATCAAGACCGCGTGTACTGGTGAAAGAACAGATACTTAGCAAAATGGAACAGAACAGAAACAGACCCAACAAACCCAGGAGCAAAGGCCATTTAGTGGAAAAGGATGGTCTTTCAACAAATGGTGCCGGAACAACTGGGCAGCCGCGTGCAAAAAAACCCCCACAAAATCAAAATCATGCACTCCCTCTGGAAGGCGGGGCCTCAAGCAGGGGTCCCCCCTGTGCATCACCCCTCAGCACTCGGCACAAAAGTTTCCCTGCCACCTGTCCGCCCACCCAGCCTCCTGGTCAAATGGGAGACAGACATGAGGGTCCCACATGTAGGCCTGTGAAAGCGCCTTGCCCGCCCTGTAGTGCCCACGCAGATCCAAGCACAGGCATCCACGAGGCTGGCAAAAACGTAAGGTAAGGTCACACTGTCCTCACATGCTGTTGGTCTTAGAGAATAGTTACTTTGCTATAAATAACTATTTATAGCAGAGTGTTGCTTTAAAAGAAAGACACTTAAAAAATCCCGTTTACTTTCTCACATGGTCATGTGGGGAGATACAGCCCTCGTGATCCAAAGCTCTTTGGGGTCCTGACAGTTCTGGGGAGGACAGGGGGCCCGGGGATCGCCAGGCCAGGCCGTGCGGCCTCTGAGCTCCAGATGAGGAGCGCCCGCAGGCTGTCGGGTCGGGGTGCAGGGAGCAGAGTCTTGGGGCTCCCCCGCAGGAGGACTGGACCATTCGCGTGGGAAGGAGCCGCCGCCCGCGGGGGGGGGGGGAGCGCCACGTGGCCCGGCGAGGCTCTCGGTGCGGGAGGCACCACCTCTGCAGCCGCGCCCCGCGCCTGCCTGCCCCCTCCCGCAATAGAGCGCCCGCACTTATTTAACGGGAGAATTATGCCGAGGACTTGGAGCCCGAACTTCAGGAAGCCTTCAGAGAAATGATTAAACTGTGACTGTCCTGGTACGAATGTGAATAATCATCCATTAGCACCGCCAGCACTCAAATAATTGTCATTCTGCTCAAGGCCGCAGGACTGGCTCCTGCACAGGTGTGAGCGCTTTCCGAACAGCACGCGGCCGGGAGCAACGCAGGCACACGGGTGCGGGGGAGGAGGGGCGGGAGGGGCGGGCGTGTGAAGGTCCCCCTCACACAGGGTGACCCCGGGAAAGGGCGTGGGGATCCAGCGGAAGGTCCCCGCCCAGGC